GAAGGGAGTGGGTCTTATTCAGGGTGAGTCAGACTAATGGTCTAGCCACTACAGATGGCCAATGTCAAGGAGGATAACCTCTGACCTACTTTCACTGCCTATTGTCCGGTTACGCTTAAGCAGCTAAGTCTGGTACATATTTTGGGGAGACAACTTAAGAGAATTCCTTCTGTTCCCCACAATTCCCCCCCACACTTTATTATTATTAATATTAGTTTTTAATCATTTTATTAGGGGCTCTTACATCTTGTATAACAATCCATGCATCTGTGTGTCAAGCACATTTGCACATTTGTTGCCTTCATCCTTTTCAAAACATTTTGAAATTTCATTTCAAAACCAAGGACTTGAGTACTTGGTATCAGCTCCTCATTGAGAAATGATAAATTATTATTATTGTTTTCTTATCTTATACACCGTCCATTGTCTCCCGTCACGCATGTTTCTGTTGTTCGTCACCGATAACCGGAGTTCTGGTGGAGGGGTTTTCAGCTTAGAATTCTGTACACGGCCACACCACTGATTAGTCTAAGAATGGGATTTTTACCATGTAAACGTGCAAGGTCATGGCGGAGATGCTCTGCCAAGAAAGGAGAAGACAGGTTTAGGAACTAGAGAGTCCAACTGGAAGGAATGCCTGAGAACTCCCTGAAAACAGCCCTGCAGCCTGGCTGAGCGCCCCTGATCCAGATTGGCGGAGATGGGAAGGCATTTGTAGGGGCAGAGCAAGCTGATCGAGCAGGTCACGTGGGCAAATGTGGAGAGAGTTACACAACTCTGGAAGGGCCTGTGTTCAGTGAGTGATAAACACCTTGAAACAGTAAACAAAGAAGGCATGCACTCACTCCGATAGAAAACCAAATATTGGTCAGGAGATGCTAAGTAATCATAGCAGGCGGCTGGATTTCGCTGTGAGTAGGGTTTGCAGAGTCAGAATAGTGCTGTGGCAAAAAGCCAAAGGAATGATGCTGAGAGGATGGAGGAATGGGTGCATGCGCTGATGACCCAATGTTTCAAGCTCTGTGCATGCTAGCCTCCTCCCAAGTGGTGTAGGTGAGGCAGGGGGTTGAAAGAGCAACTTACTCCTCATCTTCAAGACTAGAAACTCAATAAAAGGTACATAAAACTGGAGGGTGGGTGGTCAATAAGCAGCACTGCAAGTATCTTACTTAGAGAGATGGAGGTGAATAATCAAAGAATCAGCTGAAACAGTTGAAAGTAGGATTCTGGGACATGGGGAGACTGTTGGGGACTGCTGGTTTGTATAATCTGCCTTCTAGAACTATTTGACTCTTTAATGGATATATACTTAAAAGTTTGATTTAAAAAAAGTCAAAGCTGAATTTTAAAGATTGATGTTATGCGTCAGAATGTTTTTGGCAGCTAAAGACGGTGGTGATTAGAGAATGTTGCATTTGAAGCGATCCTCATTATTCCCAGCCTTTCAGCAAGTGCTGGGAGGTAGGTTTCGGTTTAAGAGTCAAACAAGCCAAAGCTGATCTTGTTACCTACCCTGTAATGGGGATGCCTTAGGAAGTAATGCTCTCACTTTCTGATCCTGAAAATATACAAGTGGAGACTGTCGGACCAGCTTTCTAAATGTGCTGAGATATTTTCACTATTCTGAAAATTGGTCCAGGAGCTACCTAAAATACTTAGCAGTTTTCAATGTGGTATTCCAGGGGTGGGAAGTTGGTAAGATCACAATATAAAAAGTGTAGCAGTGAAGGAGGCCAAGACATAGCAAACCCACTGCCCAAGCTTTTCTCTCCCCAGCACTGTCCTGAGCCTACTATCTACCTGCTATATACGACCGACACAGCACAGCTACCGTCACATGAAAATGAATGCACTTTGTTGCCCAGTTCCTGGTGGCACACCCGTCCCGGCCCTTTGTCCCCCACCAATGTGCCCCCCTCCATCAGTGTGATGGCCCCATGGGGCAGGCATTACTTTGCAAGCTCTTATCTGGCCAGATGTGTGCCTGGTTGAGCCCCCAGCAGTCCCTGGATTGTTGAGTGAAGTCCACACGAGGCTAATTCCGTGGAGCGTGGATGGTGCTGTGATGAAGCTACTGACCAAAGGGCCAGAGATTGGGACCATGCCCCCCCACCCCACCGCAAGAGAAAGCAGAGGCAGATGGCCTCCACAAAGATTTGTGGTGTCGTGACATGCCATCAGGCTGGGTCCTCCTGTACAAAGGAGCAAAACCACCACATGGCCCTGCCCCATCCTCACAAAGGTGGTTATTTTGAGCCCTTTGCTGCAGCCACCTTGTCGAGCCATCGCCTTGAGGGTCTGCCTCCTTTTGGCTGCCCATCCAAGCATGAGTGCTTCAGGGGCTGGTCTGTCCTGCCTTATCCTATGACATTAAGTCTTGTCGTTCTCCATCTGCCTTCCTCAATAAAGAAAACCTTATGGGGGCAGGTCTCCTCTGCTGTGAGTTAGAATCCATTCCGTGGCAATGGATTTGATATTTTGGATTTAGGCAAAGTCTGTGTTAGGTATGTCTCAAAGTCTCGTATAAACAAACTGCCATCAAGCCAATGCTGGCTCATAGTGATGCTCTATAGGGTTTCTGAGGCTTAGCAACTGTCTATGGGAGCAGAGAGCCCTAAGCTTCTTCTACAGAGGGGTTAGTTAGCAGTCCAGCACTAACCTGACAACCAGGACGCCTAGAAGTCTCGTTGCAATGCAACGCGCTTCCATTGAGTTGATTCCAACGCATAGTGCCCCGATAGGACAGGGTAAACTGCTCTGTGGAAAGGGAGTGGGAAGCCTCATCTTTCTCTCCCGCAGAGCACACGGTGGTTTCGAACTGCTGACTCTGTGGTTAGCTGCCCAATGTGTAAGCACTCCCATCACCAGAGCTTCTAAAAGTCTCATAGAAGAAGTCTCATAGAAGAAGAAAAAGAAAAAAGACCCAAGTGAGTTATTAATCCGTCAGTTCTCGCTCATGGCGACCTCCTATTTGTCAGAGTACAAATGTGCTCCCTGGGGTTTCCAGTGACTGGTATTTTGGGGAGTCGAGTTGCCAAGCCTTGGTCTGTGATGCCTCCCCCCCAGTGGGTTCCAACAGTCGATGTGACTCCGTAGTGGTTTCAGGACTCACTACAGCTTACAGTGGGCCCGTGGCCCAGGCTGAGTCACAAGTGAGTCAGTCTAGAAAGTTCCAGCAACCATCCCCCAAATAAGTTCCTCGTTTGCTCCTCATTCCTAAACCCTTCCTTTCTGTTTAATGATGTTTGGTCTCCCTTTCACGAACTATCTGGCACCATTCATTGCCCCATCTCCTTTCACCCTCTCGCACCTTTTTTGCCCCGAAGTCCCCTTGGACTATTTTTTTCAGGCTCCTAACTAATAGACGTGCGCAGTACCCAGAACACAGGGAGGCAGACTCCTGGGTCGTAGCCATCTTGCCTTTGCCCTTGTTTTTACAATGACTGCTGCAGGAACAGTTTGGTCAGAGTCATTTTCTTGCTATTAGTTGTGATTTACATCCTCTCTTTCCTCCAAGAAAGTCCCTAGATAACTAAAAGCAGCTGTGAGCAGTTGTTTATGCATGTTTGTTCGTTTCCGGCATGGTAAGAGCAATCATTTGGAGGATGTGTGAAATAGTAGGAGTCTTTACAAAGAATGATGGGAAACTTTGCTCTGTACTCCGCCCTCTCCCTCCCCCAACCACCACCTTGATGGCAACTTGCTCCATCTGCTGACTGTGTGCCAGCAGGCTCACAGCGATCAGTGCTTCCATACTATGTAATCTACTTTCTGTTCCATCTATCCACTTCCTAGAATGTGGCTTAAATGGGAGTTGGATCCAACTTTTAAACTAAAAGCCTCCTTCATTTAAAAAAAAAATCAAATTACTATGAGGATGAAGCTTGGGAGTGATTGTGTCTTCTAAAAATGATTTGTCTTTCTTCAGGAAATATTATGGAGAGAAGATTGGAATCTACTTTGCTTGGCTGGGCTATTACACGCAGATGCTCCTCCTGGCAGCGGTTGTGGGCGTGGCTTGCTTTCTCTATGGATATTTCCATCAAGATAACTGCACGTGGAGGTAACTGCTTAATCTGGGATGCCAGGCTGAAAATTGACCTATATTTCCCAGGGTCTTAAGACTGTTTTAGTAAAGCCAGACTCACCACAAAAACACACCTTCAGATGAATTATCCCTTTTGTTTTGAATGCAATAATGAACTGAACTGGAAGGGGGGGAAAATCTCTTTTCCTTCGATAATCCAGTCCTATCTCTGACTTGAGCATTTTCCTTAGGAAGCATTCCAGTATTTTAAGACAATACTTTGTTTGAAAAAGAAAGGAGGGCTGGTGGGAGGGGCTCCCTTGAACTTCTGCCCCAGGGAAAAGCTTCACTGAGCCCCACTGCTCTGCGCCAAGATCAGGGTTTCAGAGGCAAAACTGGTAAAACTGGTAGAGCTTTCTCTTCTGCTTTTAGAACTTTACACACACACATACACACACACAAATGCATATTCAAACACTCAAGTGGAGGATATGTGTTTTGTTGTATTTGTGTTGGCTTACCTTTTTTGTTTTGAAAATTGCCCTTGTAAGGTTAGAGGACAAATAAGTGATAAAGAAGTGTGTGGTGTTGGATATGGGAATTCAGACGCTGCACTGCCTAAAGCAGCGGTTCTCAACCTGTGGGTGTCGACCTCTTTGGGGGGGTCAAACCACCCTTTCACAGGGGTCTCCCAAATCACAGCAGTAGCAAGATGACAGTGATGAAGTAGCAACGAAAATAATGTTATGGTTGGGGGGTCACCCCACATGAGGAACTGTCTGAAAGGGTCGCGCCATCAGGAAGGTTAACTCTCAAGGGAACTACCCAGGTGCCAGAACACTGAATTTCGTGATCGCCGGTCTGCAAGGTAGGCACCCTGGTGGTGAAGTGGTCATGTGTTGGACTTGTAACCACAAAGCCAGGAGTTTGAAACCACCAGCTGCTCCTCAGGAGGAAGATGCGACTTTCTGCGTCTCTAAGGATGTGCAGCCCCGTAAACCCACAGGGCCAGCTGTAGCTGTGCTCTGTCCTGCAGGCTTACTCGGAGTTGGAATCAACTCCGTGGCCGTGAGGCTTGGTTGCTGCAGTCTGGATTGAGAAGCCCTGGTGGCATAAGGGTCCAAGTGCTGTCTGTGAGCCAGAGAAACTCTGGGGGTCGAGCCCCACCCCCTGCTCCCTGGGAGAAAGATGTGGTAACCCGTCCCTAGAGATTACAGCCTGGGGGCACTTCTGTGCAGGTCTCTGGAACTGTGATGGAGCCCAAAGGATTCCGTGGCCAAGGGCTGTAGTTTGTTCCGGTTTTCCCGTCTCAGATGTGCTGTTCTTCCCTGGCTTCTGGGGCTCTCATCCTCCAGAAGGGAGACAGCACTCAAGCAGGCTCTTTTTGTCTTCTTCTTCTTTGACCAAGTGGCACCTTTCCAGGTGGGACAGCCAGATCAACCTTTTTGGGCACCAGAGACGAGCTGATGACTGAATTCTTCCAGCTCTGAGCATGCTCGCTCACTCCCAAAAGGCAGGATGCATCCACCGCTGCCCTGATGTTTGGGCATAATTATCCCTCTATTGAACACAAGACTCTCAGCTTTGTACCCATTGTGGTGACTTAGCTAGGAAACGGCAGGTGGCCTGTGAGGTACCCTTTGCCCTCGTCACTAAAGAAGGATTTGATCTCGGATGTCTATTTTCATTGTGAGGAGCCTTCTTGCCTCTTGGTTATGTGGTTGTCTGGTTTTCAGTACATGAAGCCCAGGATGATGAACCTATAGCAAAAATAATTAGAATAAGGGTTCCTGGGGGGTCCAGTAGGGGAGGTGGAGGGCGGGGAGGGGAGGGGATGTCCAGGGGCTCAAGCAGGATGAGAATGTTTTGGGCGTGATTGTGGGAGCAATTGTACAATACTGTTGGATAGGACTGAACTGTGGAACAACATGATGTCTGGATTAGCTCCTAATAAAATGTTGTGGAAGAAAGAAAGAAAGCGCAACTAGGGCCAGGGCCTGAATGTTGATCCCTTGTCCTTATGAGTCTCTAGTTTCCCCGTTGTTTTGTGTATGGTTCTGGTGACCTGCGTTTGGAAAGAGACAGGCCTGTGGAGCACAGTTCTATTTTGAACTATGTGGGTCACCTAACCTCGGCATCAAGGGCAACTGGTTTGGTTTCTTTGTGTTTTGGATTGTTTTCTTCATGGACATCTCCTCCCGTGATTTTTCCTTGTACACTCTTCTGTTGTGCCCTTTTGACTCCCTATTGCTGTCTCTACTTCACCGTCCTGCAGGATGAAGTAATTCCTGCTGGTCATTTTTAGCAGACACCTGGGCATCAGGCTTCTTAAGCAGAGCGAGCTCCAAGACTGGCCACCTAGTGACGAAACCAAACCAAACTCACTGCCATGAGTCGGTGCTGACTCATAGTTACTCTCCCCACCCCCACCCCCGTATGTATCTGAAACTAACTGTTCGTGGGAGTAGAAAGTCCCATCTTTTTCCAGAGGAACAGCTGTTGGCTTTGAACTGCCGACCTTACAGATCGCAGCCCAACATATAACCACTGTGCCACCAGGGCCCCTTCACATAAGAAGTCCTGAGAATGGTACTTTTTCAGGAAGGGCAAGTAGTAAAAACTCTTTGGAGGTGGTTGGGACTTTTTGGATAGCTCCAACTCCCTTCTGCTCTCTTCAGTAGCTGCTTAAAATTTTAAAAAATTTAAAACTCACTGGCATTGAGTAATTCTAACTCATAGCAGCGCTGGGTAGGATTTCTGAGGCTGTAAATCTTTCCAGGAGTCGAGAAACTCAACCTTCTCTCTCAGAATGGCTGGTGGGTTTGAACCACTGGCCTTGCAATTAGTTAACAGTCCAGTGCCACCAGATTGAATGCTTAGGCAACTGTTTTGTTGCTATGAGTCGGAATCAATTCAGTGACTGGGAATGAGTAGGATTTTGTTGCAAGTCTGCTGATTCATTATTTGTTATTTGTAAAGCTACTGCAAAGCCAGGGTGATGGGGAAGTTTAAAAAGTCACGAAGCTGGCTGCTCATATAAAGATAGTGTTTTGTTGAATAAATGTCTATCAGGTCGTGGGAAGCATCAGATTCATTTCCAGAGTTTCTGAGGGAAAATTGATTTTTGACCATTTTGGCCAGTGTTTTCATTGCTTTTATGGAAGAGTAAAAATTTAAGAGAGCCTTACTTAGTCATGGAGAAGAGTCTTGGTGGTGTAGCAATTACGGTTTGGGCTGCTACCCCAAGGTCAGTAGTTTGAATCCACCAGCGACCACTCAGGAGAAAGATGAGACTTTCTACTCCCACGAAGAATGACAGTCTCAGAAACTCATGGGGGCGGTTCTACCCTGTGCTGCAGGGCCGCTATGAGTCAGAATCGACCCAATGGCAGTGAGTTTGGTTTGGGGTTTACTTGGCCATTCTGCGGGTGCTCCTCCTGCCCATTCCTTTTTACAGAACTCAGCAGAGCCACCTAACTAGCACAGCCAAGCTCCGTGCACGAACACAAGGGCCAGCTTGAATGGGTTCTCCTAGAATTGGTTTGTGCATGGTGTGATGGTGGGCTTGGTCTCATGTTTCCTCCCTGCAGGTATTCCACTGGACAGGTCCCATGTGTTGGAATGTTGTCTTCTCACCTTCTGACTTGCAGCGCCCACTCCGGTGTGCAGGAGCCCTGGTGGCATAGTTGTTACTTGATGGGCTGCTCTCTGCAAGGTCAGAAGTTCACAACCACCAGCTGCTCAGTGGGAGAAAGACAGGCTTTCTACTCCTCTAAAGAGTCACAGTCTTGGAAAAACCCAGGGGCAGTTCTACCCTGTCTTGTTGGGTCACTATGAGTTGGCGCCGATTTGATGGTAGTGAGTTTGATTTGGGGTTTGGCTCTGCAAGACAGCCTCTTTTTACATGTACATAGATGTGCTTCTGAACTCTTAATTTTGGTCTGTTGTCTAGTTTTTCCTAACCTATGCTAACAGAGGCTGGACCTTCTGGAGTGTCCTGACTGTTCTTAGTCGTTTGCTCTCACATTGCATCTGGAGCTCCAGCGGAAGAGAGCAGACATCTTTAAACATGGATTCTTCCGATTCATGATGGCGGCATGTCGATCCATGTACCTGGATCATCTTTCATGTCTTTCCGTAGGATTTTATAAGTTCTTTTCATAGAAATCTTTTGAAAGATTTTGAATTAGCGTTATTCCTTCCTATGGTTGTCGTGTGTTGAGCTGATCCTTACCCAGAGGAACCCGCCTGGTGGGTAGGGCTGCAGGGCTGCCCACAGGGTCTTCTTGGCTGTAAGCTGATGACAGCGGCTCATGCTGTCTCTCTCCAGCAGAGAGGCAGGCTCGGTTTGTGCCACAGCAGGGCTCTTGACTGTTGCAATCCCAGGGCCTTTTAGATTGATTATTAGGCTCATGATATTTTGCTACAGTATTATAAGTATTATCTCTTTATTTTCTAATTCTAGGAATACAGTTACAAAATTCATTTTTTAATATATTGATTTTTTTGTCCAACAAACTGACTAGGTGGAGCTCTGGTGGTTTGGTGGTGAAGCGTTGGGCTGCAATCCGAATGGTCGGCAGTTCAAAACCACCAGCAGCTCCCCAGGAGAAAACCTGGGCTTTCTACTCTCGTAAACAGTTAACATCTCAGAAAACCACAGCGGGTCCCTATGAGTCAGCACGGGCACAGCGGAAGTGAGAGTGCGAGAGAGTGAGAAACTGACGAGACTCCCAGAAGCCTTTCTGTAGATGCTCTTCAGTTGTCGTAGAGACCACGGTGTCATCTGTTAGTGATAACGCTTATTGCTTGTGTTCTTGTGTTTTCCTTCTCGGACAAGCTCCTTTGTCTTCACCCCCCTGCCCTCACTGTGCTTGACAAGGCCTGTAACTGAAAGGAAGTGGTGATCGCAGGATGCATTTTCTCGACCATGATCTTGGAGAATTACTTTCCACGCTCTTGCCATTCACCGTGGTGCGTTCTGTGGGAGCTCTGTGGCCAGGTGTTATCAGGTTGATGACGTCCCCCTTTATCCCTAGCTTTCTGAGAGGTTTCGTTTTGTTTGTGATCGTAAACATATAACGAATCTTATTCTATTGCTAGTCTATGTATTTAACTTTTTAATTCTTTTTCTTCTCCTCTAGCAAAGAAGTATGCCATCCTGAGATCGGTGGCAAGATCATAATGTGTCCTCAGTGTGACCGGCTTTGTCCGTTTTGGAAACTCAATATTACTTGCGAGTCTTCAAAGGTAAAAAATTCTGGGTTATTCCAAACATTTGCCTAGAGAAAAGATGAGATTTTCTTATTAATGATGATTTTGTACAACATAGAACATTATATTGAGTAATTCTGATAGTTTTTTTCCCCCAGAGCAGCCTACAAGTATGGTTGGGGATGTGGAGTGCTTGTTTGCCAGTTATAAACTAAGAGTCACAGTTTCATGGTGGTTCAGTGGGGAAGGGTAAAATCCTAACCTCTCGAACATTTGAAGGAATCCATGCAGGTAGTTCAAACCTGGCTTCTCACCTGTCATTTTTACTAGGTTAACCATTAGAAGGATTTTTCTTAATTCAAGTGAGTAGGAGCCTGCAATTTGTACTTGAGGTTTCCGCCTTTCAAGTGGATCGAAATTATGCTTAGAATTTTAAAGTCACTCATAGTTAGATTTAAACTGTCTCTGTAAGCATACATACAAATAAGCGTCCTTTGGACATGCTGTCAGGAGAGGCCATGTTCCAGTCCCTGGAAGAGACCCCGTGCTGGGAAAGTGGGAAGGCAGAGAAAGAGGAAGGTCCTCCAGGAGGGGGATTGACACAGTGGCGGCAAAACGGACCCCAGCACGGCAACAATTGTGAGGGGGGCCCAGGCCGGGCAGTGTCAGTTCTGTTGTATCTAGGTCACTAGGAGTCACAACTGACCCAATGGCACCGAACAAGGACAACCACATAAACATATGAAAAATAGATATTGAACAGAAAAGTGGGTGAAGGGAGACATCGGACAGGGCAAGATATGACAAAATAATTTATAAATCATCAAGGGTTCATGAGGGAGGGGGTAGCGTGGAGGGAGGGGATAAACGAGAAGCTGATGCCAGGGGCTTAGGTGGAGAGCAAATGTTTTGAGAATGATGAGGGCAATGAATGTACAAATGCGCTTTACATAATTGATGTGTGTATGGATTGTGATGAGTTGTATGAGCCCCTAATAAAACGATTAAAAAAAAGAAAGATAGATATTGTTTGAAAATGATTTTAACAGTTAGTCGCTTTGTATGACTTATCTAATTTCCCCTATGTGTAATGGTCTGAAGTCCCGTGATTTCTTAATCAGGGGGCTGGTGGGGGCTTACTAATTGACAAGCAGCCCAGAAACAGGAAGAAAAGAGTTTTGAGAGTTATTCTGGCAAATCAGACATATTGCCTTCCCAATGACATATTTCTCTCTCTAGCCCATTGTTGAATGTTTAGAAAGTTCTCATGGGGCCTCAGTAGTCTGAGCCATGTAAGTTCAAGAATTTTTCATTGAACGTGTTGTTACCATCATAGCTCCACTTGATATGATTTGTGGAATTCCTGTACTTATATTTTCATGTCTGACACACAACTGCCCTGGAAGATAGGCAAGACAGGCATAATGTCCACTTCATAGATTAAAACATTCAGGACTTTCAAAATTAAAGAATTTGCCGAAGCTCAGCCACCTAGAAATGGCCAGCGTCAGAGGTTGACAGCAAGGCTCTATTTCTGGCTATTACCCTTCAAAGGACATGTGATGTCACCACCATGCCTCTTAAGTCTAACTCTACATTGTAAACATTGCTCCACTAATTAGTTTGGTGTTACCAGGGTATTGCCAACACGTGGACTTTTAAATGTCACTTATAAATTAAAGTGCAACTTTCTGTTGTTTTTAGGCACGAATTGATGTTGCTTATAGTGACCCTGTGGGACCGACTAGAACTGCCCCCAAGGGTTTCCTAGGCTGCAGTCATTGTGACCGCAAGTCGCCAGGTCATTTTCCCACAGGCCCTCTCAGTATCAGCCAAGCACTTCACCATCTTACTCTCTCTAGACAACAGAAAAACTGTTCGTCTAAAAATATCACATTGGTTATATATAGTAAATGACTTGAAGCTAGTAAGAGGGAAGTTGCCTTCCAAAGATGTTGACTCATAAATTAAAAGTCTCCTTGTGGGAGCACTGGTGGTATTGTTGGGTAAGCAGTGGAAATGTGATCACAAGGTTTGTGCTTCGAACTCGCCAGCTGCTTCCATGAGAGAAAGAAGAAGCTGTCTGCTCCCATAAAGCCTAATAAAGCCTCTGAAACTCTGTAGATCACTATGAGTGGGAATCAACTTGTTGGCAGTGAGTTTGATCTGGACGTTTGCTTTTTGTTTGTTTTATCTTTTTTGAGAGTTAGCATATAAAGAGTCCTGGTGGCTTGGCTGGTAACTGAAAGATCAGTGGTTCAGACCCACAGTAGTAAGATATGGCCATCTAATTTTGTAAAGAGTTACAGCTTTAGAAATCTTAAGGGGAAAATTCTGCTTTGTCCTACAGGATCATGACGAGTTGACATTTGACAGCAGCAGGTACACAGGTAGTTAGCACCCAGCCCAAGACAATGGATTCAAGGCAAATAACAAGGCAAAGCAAATTGTACTTTATTCAAGTACAAATGAACGCTTCATTTTCCAGCTCACCCCCACCTTGCCTGTCTGTCTTCTGCTCCCACCCACCACCCATCTGTAAACACATGACTTTCAAATATGCACGCGGGGTGTGTTTGTGTGTGTGTGTGTTGGGAAAACAGAATAAGTTTGATCCTATTCCATTTTTCTCCTCCTTTCAATATTGTCAAAGTGAGTTATAAAAAGGGTAGAATATACAAAATAATATGAATAAGAGGGAGAAATGGGGGGTCAAAAAAGGAGAAAAGGCATTTTTCATGCTTTTCTGTTAGCTGGCTAACTTAATCATGTCTTCTTTCATTCTTACATTTCTTTACCTATTAACTTCAACTTCTTTCTTTTGAAAAGAGATTAGGGTTCTTTCATTCCTACATTTCTTTATCTATTAACTTCAACTTCTTTCTTTTGAAAAGAGATTAGGGTATGCCTAATTGACATATATGCTAACTAAAATGATTCACCAAAAAGGAGTATAAAATCAAGACCAAGAAACAAGTGTGTAAACAATAGGATTCAAATAGTTTTGGGACTGAGGTTTTATGAGTAAGATTCTTAGCATTCTGGCTGACCAGAATTGCCTTTCAGCCTTTGAAATGTTTGCTTTCATCTCCTGTAGCTCCTTTTTCTCCCCAGCCCCTGTCTTCTTTGCTTTGAATATGACCTAACATAAGGCACATATATTATATGCTGTATGTATACAAGCGAATAGCCCTCATCAGAACTTGTGGATCGATCCTCCCTTGCCCCAGTGTTCCTTTTCTTATTCGAGATCAGTGTAATGTTAGCAAAAGCTCTGGTGCTGATGGAGCATGAGCCAATGTCAGTCGAAGAACCATCATTGGGTTTGAGGAGGCAACATTCCTGTTAGCCCTCTCCTCGGGGAGAGCCACCTCAGAATCAACCCCAGCTTGGTTCATTTCTTAAAAAGAAGAATGGGAATTCTGCATCCAACTGCCAGGGGGATATGAGGATAAGGTGCCAGACAGAGTCCAAAGTTGCTGACAGGTCCTTAACTATAGAAGACCACACACAGTCTGGTGTCTTGATGACAGCTCATAAAGACAGGCTGTCTGTCCAGAAGCTTCCAGCAGTGTGAGCAGCCCACAGCACCAGTACCCCTTATCGTCATGTTGCCTCCAAATCAGAATAACCCCGCCTGTCAGAGCACCCCTGTGCGTGCTCAGCTTTGAGTGGCTAATTTAGGGGCAGTAGGTCACCAGGTCTTTCATCCAAGAAGCCTCTGGGTGGACGCCAATCCCAACCTTTCCGTTAAAAGCCAGCCAGGTGTGTGCCACCCAGTGACTCCTAGAAGCTAGAACCCCGCCTTTATCTGATGTGGAATGATCCCAGTGGAAAAGATGCTCTGCTAAATACAGCAGAAGTTGTTTGCTTTTTTAAAAAAACCACAAAAATTCCACCTATGAATTGTGTATAGTCGATATGGTGATTGTCAAGGTAGGTGTCAACTTTAAAAAGAACTGCAAGTAGTCCTCGACTTAACGTAGCGCATTCAGGTTATAGCAGACTGCATGTAGAACCACCTTTGTTCAATGATTTGTGCATTTTTCTAGTATACGTATTAAAACGATAATCTATAACTTTTATGTATGGTGTTCTCAGCCCCCCTTTCAGACAAAGGAAATTGTTCTCATACCAATGATAAGACACTAAAAAATGAAACCTTAAAAAAACCCGGAAGTGTTTGACTTATGCTTACAGTTGAGTTGTTGAACCAAAACCCCGTCGCGAGGCAGGGGCTGCCTCTAGCTGCAGAATGTAGCATGTACAAAACACTGCATCATCGCTGAGCTCTCATCTGTGTGGAATACGGTCTTTATCCACTTAACATGCCATTGTCTTTTACAGAAATTGTGTATCTTTGACAGCTTTGGAACCCTGGTGTTTGCAGTTTTTATGGGAGTTTGGGGTAAGCCATCTTCATTCTATTCCTCTTGCTTATGACATTTGCTTCTTTTCCCCTTTATCTTTGGCTTTAGGCAAATTTGCCATTAGATCATTTTCCTTTTTTTTCAATAGAACGTTTTATTATGAGTTAGGTGAGGATATAGAGAGTAGATCATTTTATTCAATTTACTTGTGACCATTTAATTCATATAAAAATAAGTCTAAGACTATTTTTAGTTGCATAGTTTTATAGAGACTATCAAAACCTACTTTTAGGACTCTGGATTTCCCAAGCTTTGGCCCCCTAACAGCTTCTACTGCATTAAAAGTCTAACCCAAAATGTAGGGACATAAAGCAGCAAACATTCATTATGTCTCAAAATCTCTAGGTCGACTGGGAGGTCCTTGCCGAGCTGGTCCCTGTAAAGGACTGGTGATTCTAACGGGGTTTGTGAGTTGGGACTTGGCCAGCCGGGTTGACCTCTGGGGCCTCAGCGGGGATGACTTAGCTCAGCTCCACGTTGTCTCTCATCCTCCCAGACCAGGACTCCTTACATGTTGGCTTCAGGGTTCCAACGAAACAAGCCCCAGTTGGCACTAATAAAGCCTTTGGGTGCATCCAATTTGTTAAGGTCCCATTGGTCAAAACAAGCGCTATGGTGAGCCAGCATCAGTGTGGAGATGTAAGAGGATGAACTAAAGACTTGGGTCCTGGAGAGAGCTCCCCAGAAGTCATTGATGCAATAGTCCTCCCTCACAACTGGGATCCAAATGAACCTTCATGGGATGGAGGATGGAGGGTGTCTCCGTTTCCTAGTGCTGCTGTAACAAAGTACCACAAGTGAATGGCTTTGCAGAACGAATTTCGCTTCTCACTGTCCTGAAGGCTGGAAGCTACATAGGCTTCTTCATTGTTGGCACTTTGGAGTGTTCTCGGGTGACTCTTACGTGACATTTGTCTTCCTCGGCCTGGGTGTATTTGAATGCATGTTGACTCTTCTTATACCGCAGAGATGATTAGGTTTAGGATCTATCCTAAACTGGGATGACATCAACTGATTGCTTGATTACATTATGTTAGATTTCGTTACAGAAGATAAGTTATCCACTCTGGCCAGACCAAATGAATTCATGTGACTGAATCATAACAGCACATGGCCAGATTGCACTATTTGTTGGGGGGTGGGGAGGGGTGGGGGTAACGATTCAATCCATACAGAAGGGAAGCAGCAGCGCATGTCCGCTTCTTGATGTGAGAGAATATTAATAAGTACTCGTGCATGCTACCCTTTTACTGAGTCCCCGGTGACGCAAATGGCATAAGCATGTGGCCTCTAACTGAAAGGTTTGAACCCGCCCGGAAAGGCCCGACAACCAGCTTTTGAAAGTTCATGCCACTGAAAATAAATTTGGAGCACACAGTTCTACCCTGCAACACATCTGGTAGCCCTGAGTCAGATTGGACTTGACAAGCAGATGCTTTGATTGGTTTTTACTCCTTTACTAAAAACAATGCCTCTCTAATAAACAACAGATATGATCCTAGGGAAAGTAATTCTTATGTAGATACTTTAATATTGTATGCTATTTATTCTGAATCACATCCTGACTATAATAAGGCAGCTGTAATTTTCCATTAAGAGCAGACTTTTAAATGTTCACGTAAATGTTCCACCATAAAAGAAGAAAAGTCACGCCTTTTCAAAGGTGAACACCTTTCCAGTGTTACGGTGTCCATAAAGGGGGAGAGAGGGTTCAGGCTGTAAGAAAGTGGGGGGAGAACAGAACCATCTGAGGCTGATTCTTGAGAGGACAGCAGTCAACACATGCCACCCAGTGATTGGCAGGCATTGGCGGCAGCGTTTCTCTTCGTGGTTGTATCTGTGAAGGGTCACCCAGGAGCCCACAGAACCAGCTCCCAGCCCCTTTGAGCCCCTTTCACAGAGACGAGTCGACCCTCTGAGTAAAGTGAATTGGGATGGTGGTTGTGGTCAGTTTCAACTCATAGCAACCCCGTGTGACAAAGTCGGACCGCCCCATAGCGTCTTCTTCAATGTAATCTCTTGGGGACCAGGTCACCAGCTCTTTCTTCTAAAGAGCTGCTTGGGAGGATCCAGCCACCCCCAGTGTGATTAGTAGCTACGCGCTTAGTGGCTGTGCCACTAGGACTCTGGAAAGGGAACTGTAAAAAGTACAACAAGAACCTCCCTATCGCCAAGTTCATTTCAGTTCACAGCCACCCTGTAGGGCAGGGTGGAACGGCCCCTGTGGGATTCCGAGAGTGTGACTCTTTATGGGAGCAGAAAGCCCGTCTTTCTCCGAGGAGCTGGTGGTTTTGAACTGCTGATCTTTCGGTTAGCAGCCCAACTCGCAATCGTTAGGCCACCATGGCTCCTGAACATTTGAAATCCCCACTAATTCATAGTGAAAACACTGAATTTAAAAAAAAAAGGCTTCCTGAAAGTGAACTATGAGATGGCCAAAATCATGCAGTAAGTCCCATTACCTTTAGACATTTTGCATATTTTAACTGGCAAAAAAAAGGCTAATATTTGCACGTAGAATAAAAATCAAATTCATGTGTTGAACTCCTCCGTATTCCTCCGTTATAAACCAGACCATTTTCCCAGAAAGAGCATATGTGCTGAGTATGCAAATCATCACATCCATGAACTTCATATACTAATGGACGCTCTTACCCTTAATCTAGACAGACATTTTAAATAAAGGGAAAAAATTAATTTTGACACTCTCGAGACAAACCTTAGATTTCCTGGCTAACCTTTCTGCCTTTGATCCGTCATTGCACGGTGTAGCGCTGAATTAGGTCCAGGTGCTGGTGGGAGCTCATCAGATTTCAGCATGCAGAGAGCGTTTCAGCAGCGTACGTGTATTTGACCGGCTCTGGAGATGCTAACCTGTTTTAAGTGCTTGATACCTCGTTCTCTGTTGCCCCTGCGGCATGAGAACTGCTGCTGGTCCCCTACGACCGAAAGTCTGCAATTGCGAAATCGAACAGGCAGAAGGATTGTGTCATTATTCATCTCACAACCGTCACACACCTGTAGCATCTCTGTTGTGTCCAGATGTATGTAGCACTTAGCATAATTTTCTGCTCCCTAGGGATTAGGAAAGTTGAGGCTAGAAAGCCTCTTACAATCAATATAGTACAAACCATATACTTAGCTAAAAAGTGCACCCTTGTAGACAAAGCCAGCCCATGCATCCGGAAGGCCATGAAGACAGGGTCCTCCTCCTGCCAATTCCTTCCTGCTCTTGGCATCTTGTCACCTGATTTTCCTTAACGCTAGGTTTTAAATTTTCACCTTCGACCCCCAGCAAATTAGTTATTCATCTTGACCTTCACTAGCATTTACTTTTCTTTAGCAGTTCTGGCTTTGACCATTCTGACAACACCCAGAAATCCCATGACATCAAGAACCCACAGCCCCACCCACCCAGCCTCCAAGCTGGTTACAATCTTGGGCGGCTCTGTCCCCTTCTCTCTGCCATCTCCTGCCGCGGTGCATACAAGGGAGGTGTGAAAGGAGCAGGGACGGCTGTTAGGCATGTGGACCGCGGCTCTGGTAGAAGAGCTGGCCAAATTGCCCCACGCAAATGTCTCACATTTGCCTGGTGAGGCTGTGGGGTGAAGAATTTAACTTGGGCCAAAGACTGCTGTCTTGGTCTGTGATTTCTGAGAGAGAACCTCAGAAACTTTGGAATGCCCCGGTGATTGCAGACTCTCTGAGAAGGGTGACAGAACCTCAACTGTGAGCTTATGTCAATACAGTGACCCTGGTGGGCGCTGGCAAGACCAGATTAGTCTCCAATAAAGGCTCTGGGCATGGACACCCATAGGCATCCTGGCTGGAGATGGGCATTCACTTCCCAGGGTGGCCAGCACATTCCTCTCTGGGACATGGAGCGCCACATTCATACTCTGCCCGGATCTGACCTTGGTGCCTCGCAGTTTGCATCCTTTTGCTGTGATAGACCTATCATTGTAAGTGATTGAGTTGTACACCCCCC